AGTTTTCTTTGATTTTTATTGTTTTGAAAGCAATTGAAAGTTAAGAAAATATGTAGATGGTAAACATGAAAGATCAATGTTATTTATGTGTTTAATAATAGAAATTTAAGGATGTAAAAATCATTTCTTTTTTATTTGGGTTTGAGACCGGCTACGTGGTACATAGGAGGAGTTAAATTTGTATATGAATTAAATAATTCGTGTAATTTTTACAAAAACAAATTAAACTAATGGGTAATCTAATGTAATGTATTTAAAACTTACAGATTTTCAACCAAAAATTCTGTCAAGGTCTTAACAAGAAAGTGTTTATTGTCGTGGCGATATAAACAAGAATACTCATCCCAACCGCAGGAACATGTGTACAAAACTACAAACAAAATACGAGAATTTTCACCTTGTTGAAGATCTAGTGAAATGCATAAAGATCGGAAAGAATACCAACGACGAAAGCACTCTGCTGAGCCGATGCAAACGTTGAGAGACGAAAGTGAGGGGAGCGAATGAGATTAGATACCTTAATAATCCTAGTCATAAACGTACAAGAAGTGCTTTTTTGCTCACTTGTAGCACCTCGATTCAGGTTTCCGCTAAAGGATTGAGTGAGGTGAGGAAAGCTGATTTAAAAAACCATTGAAATTCTGTAGCACTCGCACTTGCACTTGCAACCTTATCTTGAATTCGATATTTTGGATTTTAACGATAAATTTGACGAATTTTGACGGTAAGAGATTTTCGCATAAAAAATTTCAAACATGGGTTCTTTACGATTTTCAATAATTAGGAGTGTATCACACGTGGATAAAATTGCGGTGGATTTTCTGCTAGTAATCCTTTGTCAAACTCGACCTTTTACATCCTTACCAATAAATTACTTATCACTAGTTTAATTTTTCTGAGCAATTGTCAAACGTGGTTCATTTCCCTTCCAGAAGCCGCCCCTTCTATTCACAAATTCATCATCTTTAATCGACTCAGCAGCAGTGGAAAATCCCCCGTATCGAAACTTAGTTAGAGAAATAGAAATGTCAAAGACTATGGTGCAGCCAATTGGGCAGAAAAGATTGACAAACATGGCAGTTGTTCGCCTCAAGAAACATGGAATCCGCTTCGAAATCGCTTGCTACAAGAATAAAGTCCTCTCGTGGCGCTCCGGCGTGTAAGTTTTTTATATTCTGATTAGGGCTGCGCAAAATGTACGAACCGAACTGAACCGAACTGGAACCGAACCGAACCGAACCAAACCGAGCGGGTTTTCTTAACTTAAAAAC